TCAGAGCCAAGCATGCAGCACATCTTGCTGCTGAGGTGGGCCTCAGTGGAGCTGGAGTCTCACCCAGTAGCTTGAGCATGGACTGCCATGGAGTGGGCACTGTTACTGCCATCAGGGCTGGCTCATAGGCTGTGCACTGAGCTGGGGCCACAGTGTGTTTTCCCACCTACTGAGGTGGGCCTTAGCATAACTGTTCATGCCCAGTGGCACCAGTATCTGGAGGTTAACCTGTTACACTCTTCAAAAAACGTCATGAAACTGGTGGTAGTGGACCTCTCTTTAGAAAATCATGAAGCTATCACATTTCCCTCTTGTGCATTTGATTTTTATCTTTTTCTAAATTGATTACTGGTAAATCTCAAGGGGCAAAAACAGAGGGTATTTATTTCCTTTGAAATTCCCATGACTTTTAATATTCATAAAGCAGCACTTAGTTTAATTTGAGACATATAATTGGAAGAGTAATTAACCATGACAGTATATATTATGGTTACCACTTCATTTTTCAACTTACGTTTTCAATAATACATTTTGAATTAGGCATGCAGTAGGGACTATGAAAAAACCCAGCCAGAAGTGTGGACAAGCCATCACCATAGTGACCTGCATATAAACATAAAGAAAGAATATTTAAATAAGAATCAATTTGTTGATAGAGTACAAAATGTTTTTTTTTTTTACCTTGCCATCCACAAAATCTTGGAGATGTCAAAAAAGTATGAATATATAGCTATAGGAATTTAGAACTACTAAATTAACATAAGTGCATGAACCTTAAATATAGTATTAGCTAATTAAATTTGATAGTATTACCTACAAACAACCAAAGAATGTTTTGATCAAGTATGTTTTATCCCAGCATAAAAATATTCAAAATAATCAATTCTAGTCTTGACTCAAGCCCATTAAAGACGTGAACTAAATGATCTCCCTGCTCCTGTCATCTGCCTCCTTCACCCTGTATCTTCTCCATATGATCCTGCATGGCAGCAGCAAGTCTATATCTAATCAATAATTATTTTAAATAAAGGGGATTAAATTCTCCAATCAAAAGACAGAGAGTGGCTGAATGGATTTTAAAAAAGATCCAACAATGTACTATCTATACAGAACATATTTTGCCTTTAAGGGTACACATAGACTGAAAATGATGAGATGAAAAAAAGATATTATATGCAAATGAGAACCAAAAGGGAGCACAAGTGGCAATACTTATATCAGATAAAATAAACATTAGTCAAATCTTTACAGACACATCACCCAAAGCAGTGATAGTGAAGGCGAAGATAAACAGCTGGGACTACATCAAATTAAAGAGCTTCTGCACAGCAAAAGAGACAATAACAAAAACAAAGAGAAACCCCACCAACTGGGAGAACATTTTTGCACCCAACACTAATGATAAAGGACTGATCACAAAAATCTGCAAAGAGCTGATGAGACTTAACAACAACAAAGAAAAGAATCCAGTCAAAAAATGGGCAGAAGACCTAAAAAGAAACTTCTCTGAAGAGGAAATGCAAATGGCCAACAGGCATATGAAAAAATGTTCAACATCACTTGTCATCAGGGAAATGCAAATCAAAACTACCATGAGATACCATCTTACACCAGTGAGAATGGCACATATTAAAAAAACTAGCAACAACAAATGTTGGCGAGGGTGTGGAGAAAAAGGAACTCTTCTGCACTGTTGGTGGGAGTGCAAACTGGTCCAACCACTGTGGAGAGCTGTGTGGAGATTTCTGGACCTACTAAACACAGAGCTTCCATATGATCCAGCAATTCCACTCCTAGGTATTTACCCAAAGGACACAGAAACATCAATTCCAAAGAACACCTGCACCCCTATGTTTATAGCAGCACTGTTTACAATAGCTAAGCTTTGGAAACAACCCAAATGCCCAAAAATAGATGACTGGATCAAGAAGATGTGGTACATATATACCATGGAATATTACTCAGCATTCAAAAAAGATAAACACATGCAATTTGCAGCAACATGGATGGCACTGGAAGGATCATGCTCAGCGAAATAAGCCAAAAAGAAAAAGAAAAATACCGGATGGTCTCACTCATAGCAGGAATCTAGAAAACTTAAATAAGGGACCAGGAAACGAATAACTATAAGAAAGTGAAAATCAAAATCAACAAAAAACTACGAACCAGAGACACTTTTAGGGGGCGGGGGTGGGAGGGGAGGAATTGGGGTCAGAATGGGGGGGCTGCAATTGTATGGGGAATATAAAAATAAAATTTATTATTAAAAAAAATAAAAATAAACATTAGTCAAAATTAGTTAAAATTGCTCACAAGAGACAAAGAAGGTCACCATATATATTAAAGGATCAATTCATCAAGAGGATATAAAATTTATTAATTTATTTGCACCTAACTTTGGAGCACTGAAAATTTAAACCAAATATTAGCAAGACTGAAGGGAGAAATAAGCAACATTACAATAATAAGTGACTTCAATACTCCACTTTCATTCAGAGAGAAAATCAATAAGGATGTAACTAATATGAATCACACGAAAGTCCAAATGAACCTTACAGACATACGAACATTCCAGCTAACAACACCAGAAAACACATTCTTCTTAAGTGCATACAGAACATTCTATAAGATAGTTCATGTGTTGGGATAAAAGCAAACCTTAACAAACTTAAGAAAATTGAAATCTTATCAATTATTTTTTTCCAGACTCAGTGGTGTTAAATAGAAATAATAACAGGAGAAAAACTGGAAAAAATAGCAATTAAACAACATAGTCCTATTTTTGTTTTACCTCCTTTGCCATTAGAGTTAAATACTCAAAGGAGTCTCTATACCTAATGTCACTGAAATTATTGCCTGTGTTCTCTTAATTGTATTTATTGTTTTGGATCTTACAGTCAAGTCCTTAATCCATTTTGAGAGCAACTGGTCCCTCAGCTGTAGCAGGTGTGGTTGAGCAAATCACCCACTCATTATCATTTACCATCACCTCCTCTCCAAAAAACGGTGTGCCGATTTGATTCCGGATCAGCCACCACCTTCTCTGCCTTCAGTGCCTCTTCCAGAACCCTCACTCACTCTGCTGCCTCCTCCATGCCCAGTTCACTAACTTTTGGTGCACACATGGGTGTATACCTTGGGTGTACTGCTTTTTCATTTGTTTATTCTGTTATTCGTTTGCTATTCTGTTGTAATCAAAGGGGAGGGAGAAAATGAATGACACATGATATTTATTCAAGCTATAAAAGTGTGTACATCACCTTCACTTTGAAACTCAACTTATGCTTAAAACATTGATAAAAATTATTCTGATTTTGACATTTATGACATCATCTTTCCTATAATAAGGGACAAATCAATTCATTACTATTCCCTTAATATAATTCCTAGTTCACCATGTTTATGAATTAAAACTTATTTTAAAATGTCATTATGTTAACATCTTATCAAGGCATAATTATACAATATTCCATACATATTTAATGTGAACAATTTAATATGTTGCTTTCATTGAATTCATATTGTTCATAATGTTATCCAGTTTCCTCTTTGATTTTTTTCCTTTGGCAAATATATTGTTTTATAGTGTGCCAGTTTATCTCAACTCCAGGGCTCACTCTTAAAACAGTGTGTGTATGAGATGATAGTTTTGAGACCTAGAAGAAGACAAACGGTGGGCTGAAGAATCAAGCAGAAACTTAGTACCCACTCAATGTTGGGGAGACAGAGGCTGGCATTTAAGTCTTACCAAGTTAGAGGCCTTGGTAAATATTCAGTGTATTCTCAGAAAAATTATGCCTTGGAAGTAAATGCTTCAAATTAGAAGAAAATACCACACCTTGGGAATAAGCTCCACAATTGTTATTAAGGGCAAAACAAAGCTTCAAACCAAATCTGACCCCATCAAGGTATTTGGCAAGGTCTTCTGCCTCTTGCCTCTTTTCAAGGATTCTGTCCCACAAGTTCAGGCATTTCAGCAGCCTGGGACTCTGAATTCCACTTCCTCCTCTCAGTACAATCACTTTTGGACTCCTTCCCTTGCACTACAAACAGATACCCTGGGGAAGGAGTTTTGATAAACAAGGAGGGAAAAGGACTTCCTTTCTTTAACGAATCATACCTGCTCTTGATTTCTAGTCAATGGCTTCAAACAATTATTTACTCACATTTTGTTCAGTTTTTAATAGTTGGGTTTTTTTCTTGGCTATTCTAATACCAGCCATTCAGTTGTGGCTGAAATAATAAGTCTTTCACAATTCTTATTTCTGGGACTTTCAGCTGCCCCAGGCCTGAAGGTGCACGGATAATCCCCCGCTTCTACAAAGAGATGATGAGTGTAAATGGTGTCTTGTGAACAGACCACAGGATTGAACTGAGCTACTCTAGACTTACATTTCTTCATTTGGTAACAAGGCATTTGGGCATTAGGCATTTGGACCAAGCCTACCACAGCTCCTAAAATAATATAAATCAGTGAGCCATTTTGTAAGCAGTATGGGTCTATTACCTACAATAGATATAGAAAAAGTAGAATTTGGAAATATTAAGTATAAAAATCTAAAAAAGATATATTCTCTGTGGTTTAACATAACTGAAACAATGGCTTCCATGTATTTTAAAATATTTTGAAGCTAAAACTTTGGATGCTCTGAGAACTACCTATTCTATTTAGACTTAGTTAATGAAAAGTCTTACTTATCATGCATGCATTATCAAATACAAATAAAATTCAATCATATAGCACAATACATAAAAAAATAAAATTAGCTATTTTAGATAATTTTAAGTTTTTGAAAGGGTGGTTAATGCAGTTTGAAGTAATGAAATTTTAGATGAATAATACAACTAAAATATCAATGAGAATTTCACTGAATAACCAACTATTTCTAACTGCATTTATTTTTTTTTTTCAAATTATTTTGAAAATAGGTAGCATCAGTTTTTTGTTGTTGTAAATGAACATAAATTTTCATGAGAAAGTAGAGTACACTTACCAATGACAGTAAAACTAACCTGTCATGTCATATCGGAAGCAAGAGGAATGGTGGGCCAAATGAAACAGTAAATTGCAAAAAATGCCAGCCATATTATTATGCTTCCCCAAATTGCTATATGACTAAACTGCAAAAAGAAAAATATCATAGAAACACTTCAATCTTTTCTGTTTAAAATATAACAGTCAACTAACAAAATATATGATGTCCAGGACACCATAGAAAATTATTGGTAATCTTTCAATTTCTTGATAGATTTATTCAATTTCAGGTTCTTTTAAAGAAAAAAAATCTTTGAACAGAAATCATTAAGAAGGATATAAATTTGAACTTATACATGTTCTGTGTGAATTCTGGGACACTCGCATAAGTTGGATTTCTAGACCAAACCAGGAAGACTTTCTGTTTCTATCAACTATGTATGTCATTCTGGTTGAGCTGTTGGCTGGAGCATCACTGTGCAGGTCTAGTTTAGGAACTTGTACCAAACTCTTTAATGCTAAATGTTAAGGAGACAAATCCTCCTGTTGATCTGATCTGTTATTTGTACAGTTTGTGTTAGCAAAGGAATGGTAAGGAAAATGACTAGGAGACTTAGGTTCTAAACTTGGCTCTCTGGGTGCACTGCATGCCCACAGGTCTCAGATTGATCATTTTATCATATTTAGCTAGAAGACATTACTTCTTAAGGTTTCAAGTGTGCTCACCTTACTAGGTACAGCTCATTACTAATCATATCTGAACAACAAAAACAGAGAAAACCACAATCTGCTATTTCTCAGAGTTTTTTAATGAAAAGTAATTTTTTTCACTCTCTTAAAAAAAATAACATCTTTAATGATTCCTCTGATTAAAAGGAACCAGTCTCCTCAAGGCTTTCTCTTGTGATCAACAGATGATGGAGAAGAGAACCAGTTCAAAACTTTCAACTTTTCTAACACTGCAGTGCATTTTCATGTAATTTTTCCCCTGTAGTCAACCTTAATACATTAGCTGTAAAATATTTCTCAAAGCAGTTATGTTACAGGGCAACCCTGATATAAAATGGGTTGCCTGACTGTGGGTCCTCACCTGTGCACTTAAAAGGGACTTACACTGCAGGCACACACAAAAGGTTAACAAAGGTTTATTTACAAAGGAAAGGGAAATGAGGAAATGTACAGCTCAGGTAGAAAAGAGGGAGATAAATTCTTAAATGCGTCCTACCCATTCTGCCGACCTGGAATCCCAAATGGAATCCCGCCAAGACCAAACCTGCCTGGCCAAGAGCACGAGCCAAGTGCCCCAGACCCCACTAACAAGGCTGGTTTTATTTACAAACAGATAAAATGGCTGCTTAACTCTGCCCTTAGGTCTTTGCAACTTCCCTTTGGGGATCATGGGATTTGTAGTTCCCAGGGTCTTGATGGAGTGGGGGTGGCATCCACAAAGCCTATATGGAGTATGCTCAGGACATCCTTTCCCCCTAACAGTTACAGTAGCTTGCTACTGTCCTAAGAAAATGGACTCAACAGGCACCCACCTTTAAGCCATACAAAATGCCTCTCATTGCATTTCATGTATATGTGAAAATAAAGGGTCAGATAAAACCAAGCCAAAAATAAACCATCTGACTGTAGAATTGTGACTACCAGAAAAGGAGAGGGAGGGAAGAGAACAAAGTGGGGAGTGAGCTATGATAGTGGGGGACTATGAGTGCTGGGGTGATAGGTGTGGTATGATTATAAATATAAATGCTGTAATCCTATACCTCTGAATCATATACAGTATTACAAACCAATGCAACCTCAATTAAAAAAAATGTTACAATTAACTATCATTAAGAATATAGAAGCCCTGAGCAATATAATTATCCACCTTAAAATTATTGATATTAATAGTTCTCTGTATTTTACAACTAAATATAAACATTCATTTAAAAAAGTTAGCATGAAGCAACTATCTGGATTGAGGAAATATCTAAATATCCTAACGAATACTCACTTTATTCCAAGACATTGTCTCCAAACCAGCTTTCAGACAAACAGTAACTATCACATACTGTGTGAGGTAAGAGAGCAAAGGGGAAAGAGATTGGAAAAATGATAAAAAATTAGAATCCAAACCCCACCTTCTTGACCCCTTCTCTCCCCCCCTCCCCTGACACACATACACTCCCATGTCTGGTGAACTCTCTTGTCATTTGGTTGCTAAATTTTAGTTGTAGGGGGAATGAAGTTTTTCAAAAGATGTTCTGGGTTTAGAAGTTCATTAACATGATGAATCCATGCTTTTAAGCACTTATATTTACATTTTTTAAAATAGTATGGAAGATTTGATTCTTATTAATAATCTAAGTGACTGATTAAAAAAAAAAACAGTTGAGCAGAGTAGATTGAAATAGCTGAAGAGTATCTTGGCTATTTATGCCCCTTCGCATTCCTATATTCATATTTTAGAAATGACACATCAAGTCTCTAGGGCTTTTAATTGTGATTACAATAAATCCATCTGAAGTGATCTGACTTCTTTGAAGTATTGAGTCTTCTAGCTAATGTTCTTGTATATTTCTTCATATAGATGTTCTTAATGTCTCCAGTAATGTTTTACAATTTTCCTTAGAGATCTTGAATATCATGTATTAGATTTGTTCTTATGTTTCCCATATGTTTGATAGTATTTTAAAATAGTATTTATTTTTTTAACTTTACAAATATGTGTTGGTGGTACACTAAAATTTAATTGATTCTTAAATATTGATCAGTATCCCAGCAACAGCCAATCTCTTTTTATTGATTGTAATATTTTATCTGTAGATTTTATTTTGTTTCTATCTTCATACTCGTCATCTATGATTTAAAAACAGATTTTGTCCCTTTCCAAAGCTTAGGCTTCTTGCTTCATTTTCTTTTTGTATTGACTTAATAACTCCATTACAATGTTTAAGAGAAGTGGCAATACTGACATCTTAGTCTTATTCTGAACCTCAAGGAAAAAACTTTCAGTGCTTAATTAAGTATGATTTTGTTTGCAGGATGTGTTCTTATAGAGCAACAGAGTGATGCACTGAGTGCTTTAAATCCTGCATTTGAAGTTGTCTTTGATCATATCCATTTCTCATCAGCATTCTAGTAAATCCCCATAGATAGGGGTGGTGCCTCAATAGATAGGGGTAGATAGGGGTGGTGCCTCAAAGGTTCCAAGGCACCAGTAGAAAAGTTCCCCATCTACTGCTCCAAGTTTACCTTTGCCAATACACTGCACCTCCCTTTCCTAACACAGTTTGCACTGTGCGCTGAATCAGATTCCACTGGAAGGGGGCGGAGCAACATGGCGGCGAGGAGACTCTGCGAGTAAGATCTCCCATTAAAAAAAGTGAATAGGGAGGAAAAGCGGCAGGTCCCAGTGAGAACTGGGACACGGAAGATAAACGGACGACTCCAGCAAACTGCCCGAAGAAGAAAGTTGCCATAAAAGAGGACGAGAAGGGAGGGAAGCGCAGAACCCTGCTCCCCTCCCCCGCCCACAGAGGCGGCACTCTCCGACCCGCAGAGAGGAGGAAACAACAAACCAAAACGACCCACAAGAACAAACGACGCAGCAAGCGGGACCGTGAGTGGAAAGGAACTATTGCAGCCACCACACCCTGTGAACGGGAGCTGAGGCGAACCCTGCAGGATCCGCCGCGGCGGTGAGCAAACGGCTCCTGGCGCCATTAGAGAAGAACAAAGACCCCTGAGACGCACACACAGCCCGGGCTGCCGGTAAGCTGGCGCGGAAACGCGGTGCGCTCGGGGAGCTTGAAAAGCAAGTGCAGACCTGGATCGCGGCTGCCCAGGTCCCCGCGCCTGCCACCTAGGCTTGCGGGGAGACGACCTAGGCTTGCGGGGAGACGCACGGAGGTCCTCACTGAGGTGAAGGTCCCTCCCTGAGTGAGCAGGAACCAGGCGCCCAGGCACGGGAGCAGTGCAAAAGGCGCCATTCCCGCGCCACTGAACTGGGCTACAGCCCGCGTCCTGGAACTGAGGGCTTTGAACTGAGACCCGGGGCACGAAAATTCGGGGCGTGGGTTCTACACGACGGTGGGGCACAAGGCAGACACAGCACCCCAAAGCTGTTGAGGTGTACCCTACCATTCCCGCTCTGTTCTCTGTCCCACGGGGTGGGGGGAGGCGAAAAACAGCCCCCCAAGGACAATAGGAGAGATCTCTGGCGCCACCTAGCGACCAGGAAAAAAAAAAGTCACTAACACCCTATAAAACAGGACATTTCTTAAGACTGCTTGAAAAGGGCAGAAGGTTTCTGGAGGACCCAGTGGCCAGCCGGGAAGTTATTCCACGCCAGGCCCCTTCCGACCAGCAGTCTGAGCCCACAGAGGGAGCAGGCACCCACGTCCGGGGCAGACCGGGTGCGCAGAAGAGTGTGCCTGAAACCGGAGGCGCAGGGACTGCATCCCGCTTCGCCATTTGAGAACAGGGACATTTCTTCAGTAAAAACTGCCTAAAACCAGCAGAAAGCTCCCCCAGAAGACAGAGATGGCTCCTGGAAGAGCCAGAGGGGAGCGGAGAAGTTCACCCAAGATGTCAGTCAGTCCGAGCAACACAGTGTCCCAACGCATACGACAAATTAGAAAACAGACAGTAGGGAGTAGAAGAACCACACGCAACCTAAAAACTCCTCAGGAAAGAAGCACACCACAAAAAGAAAACCACTCCCCAGATTGCAACGACAGCAACTTGGAAGAACTTCTGAGCCTTCCAGAAAGAGAATTTAAAATTGCCATGATTAAAAAAGTGATAGATCAGAAGAAGGAAATTGAGTCCCTAAAGAGGGAAGTAAGAGAAATGCAGGAGATCAAAGAATTAATGGAGGAACTAAAGAACTCTGGGAAAAGCAATGAAAGCAGAATAGATGAAATGGAAGAACGAATAAGTAATCTTGAAGACACAGAAATAAAAAGAACCAAAACAGAAAAGGAAAGAGAAGTACGAAGGAAAAAGAATGAAGAAAGACTTCGGAACTATCTGACTCCATGAGGAAAGGAAATATAAGAGTTATAGGAATTCCAGAAGGAGAGGAGAGAGATGTAGGAACAGAGAAAATATTCATGGATATAATTGAAGAGAACTTCCCAAATGAGAAGAAGGAGCTGAAAATTGATATACAAGAAGCAAGAAGAACACCAAACTTCCACGACGAAAGGAAAAACACAGCAAGACACATAATAGTAAAGCTCCCAAGAATCCAGGACAAGGAAAAAATAATGAAGCTGACAAGAGGGAAGAAACAGATAACATTCAAAGGAAAACCAATCAGGCTGACATCAGACTTCTCTGAAGAAACACTACGGGCAAGGAGAGAGTGGAGGGACATAGTCAACAGACTCCAAGAAAACAGATGCCAACCAAGAATACTCTATCCCGCAAAGCTCTCTTTCCTCCATGAAGAAAGAATATGGACCTTCCCAGACAAAGAGAAACTCCGGAATTTCATTGCGACTAAACCCCCACTCCAAAAATACTACAAGGAATCCTAAAGCCAGAACCTCAGAGGGACGAATAACAACGAAAGAAGACCAAAAAAAAAAAAAAGTTATTAAAAGAATAAATAAATAAAATCAAAGGAAAGACAAACATAATGGCAAATACAGATGCTAACATATCAATATTAACTCTAAATGTAAATGGACTAAACTCTTCAATAAAAAGACACAGAGTTGCAGCCTGGATTAAGAAACAAAACCCAACCTTTTGCTGTCTCCAGGAAACACATTTAGCTACAAAAGATAAAAATAGGCTCAAAGTCAAAGGATGGAAAACAATCCTACAAGCAAATGGGCCAAAAAAGAAAGCAGGAACAGCTATACTTATATCAGATAAAACAGACTTCAAACTCAAAAAAATAAAAAGAGACCCCAATGGTCACTACATTATGATTAAGGGGACAATACTTCAAGAAGAAATAACACTCATTAACATATACTCACCAAACGAAAGAGCACCAAAATATATCAGACAACTGTTGTCCTCTCTGAAAACAGACATCAGAGAAAACACATATGTAGTGGGAGACTTCAACACACCACTATCAACAATGGATAGATCAACAAGACAAAAAATAAGTAAAGAAACTAAAGCTCTAAATAAGGACCTAGAGCATTTGGGCTTAACAGACATCTATAGAACACTAAACCCAAAAAAACGGAGTACACATTTTTCTCAAGCGCACACGGATCATTCTCCAGGATCGATCACATACTGGGGCACAAGACAAACATCAACAGATACACCAAGATTGAAATCATACCAACCATCTTTTCTGACCACGAAGGCATCAAACTAGAAATAAATCATAAAAAGAAGGCAAGGAACTATCCTACCTCATGGAGATTAAAAGCCACACTACTGGAAGACCACTGGACTAACGAGGAGATCAAAGAAGAAATTAAAAAATTCTTTGAATTGAATGACAAGGAGGACACCAATATCCTAAATGTATGGGATGCAGCAAAAGCAGTAATAAGAGGAAAATATATAGCAATAGAAGCTCACATCAAAAAACAAGAAAGAACTCAAAGAAACAACCTAATCTCGAAGCTCAAAGATCTAGAAAAAGAACAACAAAAAAACCCCAGAACCAGTAGAAGAAAAGAAATAATAAAAACCAAAGCAGAAATAAATGAAATTGAAACTAAAAAAACAATCCAAAAGATCAATGAAACCAAGAGCTGGTTCTTTGAAAAAATAAATAAAATAGACAAACCCCTAGCCAGGCTCACAAAGGAAAAAAAGGGAGAAAGCACAAATACACAGAATCATAAATGAAAGAGGAGAAATCACAACGGACACAGCAGAAATCAAAAGAATAATCAGCAACTACTATGAACAGTTATATGGAAACAAGTTCAACAATCTAGAGGAGATGGACAAATTCCTACAACTCTACAATCACCCAAAGCTAGATAAAGAAGAAATAGAACACCTAAACAGACCAATTACAAGCAGCGAAATTGAAATGGTAATTAAAAACCTCCCCAAAAACAAAAGCCCAGGACCTGATGGATTTACAAATGAATTCTACCAAACATTCAGAGACGAATTAGTGCCTATCCTTCACAAACTCTTCCAAAAAATTGAGAAGGAAGGGACAATACCAAACACGTTCTATGAAGCCAATATTACACTAATACCAAAACCGAATAAGGACAACACAAAAAAGGAAAACTATAGGCCAATCTCCCTAATGAACACTGATGCAAAAATCCTCAATAAAATTTTAGCTATCAGAATCCAACAATGTATCCATAAGATAATTCACCACGACCAAGTTGGATTCATTCCAGGGGCACAAGGATGGTTTAACATCCGAAAATCAATCAACGTTATCCAACACATCAACAAAAAGAAATATAAAAAACCATATGATAATATCAATAGATGCTGAGAAAGCTTTCGACAAAGTGCAACACCCATTCATGATAAAAGCCCTTGAAATTCTTGGGATACAAGGAACATACCTCAACATCATAAAGGCCATCTATGAGAAGCCAACAGCCAGTATCATTCTCAATGGTGAAAAGCTGAAAGCAATTCCATTAAGATGTGGAACAAGACAAGGATGTCCACTCTCACCACTGCTTTTCAATATAATACTGGAAGTCCTAGCCAGAGCAATAAGACAAGAGAAAGACATCCAAGGAATCCAAATAGGAAAAGAAGAAGTCAAACTATCACTATTTGCAGATGATATGATAATATACATAGAGAACCCAAAATCTCCACAGAAAAACTAATTCAACTCATCAATCAATTCAGTAAAGTGGCAGGATACAAAATCAACATGCAAAAGTCAGTAGCCTTCCTATACACAAACAATAAATCTGAAGAAGAAGAAACCAAAAAAACCACCCCTTTTACTATCGAAACAAAAAAAATCAAATATTTGGGAATAAATCTAACAAAAGAGGTAAAGGACCTATACAAAGAAAACTATAAAACACTGTTAAAAGAAATAGAAGAAGACACAAAGAAATGGAAAGACATCCCCTGCTCATGGATTGGAAGAATAAACATTATTAAAATGGCCATCCTCCCAAAAGCAATATACAGATTCAATGCTATTCCAATCAAAATCTCAATGGCATTCTTCAAAGAAATAGAACAATTATTGATGAAATTCATATGGAATCACAAAAACCCCGAATAGCCAAAGCTCTCCTGAAAAAAAAAGAAGGAATGGAGGCATCACACTCCCAGACTTCAAACTATACTACAAAGCCATAATCATCAAAACTGCATGGTATTGGAACAAGAACAGACATACAGACCAATGGAATCGAATAGAAAATCCAGAAATAAACCCACAGATTTATGGTCAACTAATCTTTGACAAAGGAGCAAAGACTATGCATTGGAGCAAAGAAAGTTTGTTCAATAAATGGTGCTGGGAAAACTGGGTCTCTACATGCAAAAGAATGAAGCTTGACCACTACCTCACACCATACACAAAAATCAACTCAAAATGGATTAAAGAACTAGACATAAGACCTGAAACCATAAAATACATAGAAGGAAATATAGGCGAAACACTACGTGATTTGCACATCAAAGACATCTTTACAGACACATCACCCAAAGCAGTGATAGTGAAGAGAAAGATAAACAGCTGGGACTACATCAAATTAAAGAGCTTCTGCACAGCAAAAGAGACAATAACAAAACAAAGAGAAACCCCACCAACTGGGAGAACATTTTTGCACCCAACACTAATGATAAAGGACTGATCACAAAAATCTGCAAAGAGCTGATGAGACTCAACAACAACAAAGAAAATAATCCAGTCAAAAAATGGGCAGAAGAGCTAAAAAGAAACTTCTCTGAAGAGGAAATGCAAATGGCCAACAGACATATGAAAAAATGTTCAACATCACTTGTAATCAGGGAAATGCAAATCAAAACTACCATGAGATACCATCTCACACCAGTGAGAATGGCACATATTAAAAAACTAGCAACAACAAATGTTGGCGAGGATGTGGAGAAAAAGGAACTCTTGTGCACTGTTGGTGGGAGTGCAAACTGGTCCAACCACTATGGAGAGCTGTGTGGAGATTTCTGGACCTACTAAACATAGAGCTTCCATATGATCCAGCAATTCCACTCCTAGGTATTTACCCAAAGGACACAGAAACATCAATTCAAAGAGCACCTGCACTCCTATGTTTATAGCAGCACTGTTTACAATAGCTAAGCTTTGGAAACAACCCAAATGCCCAAAAATAGATGACTGGATCAAGAAGATGTGGTACATATATACCATGGAATATTACTCAGCATTCAAAAAAGATAAACACATGCAATTTGCAGCAACATGGATGGCGCTGGAAGGGATCATGCTCAGCGAAATAAGCCAAAAGAGAAAGAAAAATACCGGATGGTCTCACTCATAGCAGGAATCTAGAAAACTTAAATAAGGGACCAGGAAAATGAATATAAGAAAGTGAAAATCAAAATCAACAAAAAACTATGAACCAGAGACACTTTTTGGGGGGGGGGGGCGGGAGGGGAAGGATTGGGTCAGAATGGGGCGTTTGCAATTATATGGGGGAATATAAAAATAAAATTTAATATTTAAAAAAAAAAAAAAAAAAAAAAAAAATTCCACTGGATCTTACACTCCCTGAAAGCACCAGGATTGTCTTCACTTACTGTCAGTGAATTCCCCAGGGTTCTATATTTGGACTTAGCATTTTACTCCAATTCACTAACATTGGGAATAGCGTTCAGGAAAATTAGGTTAATGACCTCATCATGCTGAGCCTAATAATTCTCCTTATATTTCTCTGATAGCATCACATTTTGATGTTTGTAACATTGGATTCAGTCCCCTTTCCTTGTTTATTTGCTATGGTGAATTACTTTGTTGTAATCTTTTGCTCTTGGTTTTTACTATTTTTCTTCTTTGTTTGTGTGTGTTGTATTTAGCTTTGAGAGATTAAGACTCCATGTAATCACTGTACTCTGGCATCTTAATTAGGAATCTCTTATATGTGTGTATATGTAGTTTCTTTGTGTCTCTAAATGTAATTTTCATGAGGATTTGGTTGGAGATACATACATACATACATACCACATGTATAAAAACATAGCTAACAAGCACACTGTGTACAGCTTTTAACACAGTGTTTTATTCATATTAATGAATGAATAAAACAAAACCCTATCTGATTTATTTAGTCATTTTCTTGGAGCTGGAAAAGGGTAAGGCCTGAAGAAGTAGGAGATTTGAAATGAAGAAAAATTGCACTATGCATATGTCCAAATAAATAAAGTACTATCAACCAACACTTGATGGTCAGAAATATGTAATTAGAGTTAAAATCACAACTAGTAACCTGAATTAATAGACAACCAGCTAAAGTAAAAGGAGGCAATATGCCAACAAACTGTTTCTTAAATGGAAGTCATACAAAAATGGTTAATGAGCTTGTTATTCTAAGATATATGCATACCTCATTTTATTGTGCTTCAACTTACTGTGTATCACAGATATTATAGTTTCTATAAAAGTATGTGGCATCTCTGTGTCAAGCCAACTCTAGTTGGCACCATTTTTCTATGTGTTCATTTCTTGTCTCTATGTCGTATTTAATTAAGGCATGCACATTGATTTTTAGACATAATAGATAAGTTTTCAATTAATAGAATAAAGTATAATGTAGGCATTACTTATACCTGCCCTAGGAAGCCAAAAAGATTTTGTGACTTGCTCTGTTGCAGTACCATGAAACTGAACATGTAATATCTCCAAGGTATGCATGTATTTGTTAACTGGGAAAAAGGATGCAGAGGAATATGTTTTTTACTTGCTTACAAAAGGGATAACACACTGTTGAATACATATCTACAATATTTAGAATTATCAGTAAGAAAACTACCAAAACAGAGGCAGACACAAATTAGAAGCCATAAAGGAAAATACTGATGCATTTAACTACAAAAAATGATATACAAACATATTCATGACAAAAACACCATTAAATGTGAAAGTGAGTAACCGGAAATTTATTTTTCTAATATATGAGAAGATATAACATACTCAACATATATTGCTAATAATTAATGTGACCAACAACCCAACAGAATAATTTGGTAAAGTAAATTAATAAGTACTACACAGAAAAAGAAATAGAAGTACATATTCATGCAACATGCTTACACTCAAAGCAAAAACTTCAATTGGATATCATTCACCTACTAGATCAAAAGGTGTCAGAAAACCATTACCCAGAATGGCACGGGGAACTGATATTATCACTAATTTGTACAACCTCTTTGAGGGATAATTTGGTAATGTTTTCAAAATTCACAGTAGCCTTTGATTAGCATTTATACTTTTAGAAATGTATCCTACATATATATTTGCTTCTGGGCATAAAGTATAGCCTTTGCAGCAATTTTTGTAATGGCAAATGTCCAAAACAATCATAATGTCCACTAAAAGAATACTGGTGAAATAAATAATGATGAGTTAGTTGTTCATATAAATAGCCTCAAAAGAATGTGGATAGGTTTGTGGGGTGATTCAAAACTATCACTGAGGCATGTTGTGTAATATACAAGCGAGATATAGAATAGCATCTCTTGCACAAAAATTAGGGGGGTATACATTTACATAAATGTTTTTTTCACATATCTAGAAAAATATAGCCATTTATAATAATTCCTTGAAAAGATATTGAAGCATGTGAAGTATTAAAACTCATGGATAGTTAGTTTTTATTCAAAACTATGAAAAGTATAAGGATAAACTTACTGTATAAATGAAATTTCCAAGAAACAAATAGTCTGTTGTGTGACCATCTAGTAATACCATATCTGAAAATTGAAAACAAATTTTATCCTTATGCAGCATGAAACATAGATTTTTAAAGTTATTTTTAACAAAGTAATCCATTCCAGACACCAAAAATATTTAATTATTGGACTAGTTTAAAGTGCTGTCAGTGTGAAAATGTTTAATTTTGCCTGTCATAAATGTGATGGTCTTCCATGCCTTACACTCTCCAAAACTGTATTAGGCAACAAAGAAATAAATCATAGAAATAAGTAAATTACAAAGAGTACATGAATGTGCTTATCAAGACCAGCTTAAAGTATCTAAACTGATTATTGAGTTGGGATCAAGCTGGCAGTGGGGAAACGCTGCGAGTAAGTCCTCCCATTAAAAAAAAAGAAATGTTAATAGGGAGGAAAGAGTCAAGTCCCTGCAAGAACTGGGACATTGAAGATAAACGGGCAACTCTGGCTAACTGCCCAAAGAGGAAAGTTGCCATAAAAGAGGACAAGAAGAGGAAAGCTCAGAACCCTGCTACCCTCCCACACACACTAAGTTGGCATTCTCCAGCCAACAGAAAGGAGGAAAGGAAAAAAAAAAAAAAAGAACAACCTACAGATCTAGTGGGACACTGAGAAGAAAGGAACTATTTCAGGCACTGCACCCCACGAATGGGAACTGTGGAGAACTGTGCAGGAATTGCCATTAGAGGAAGAAAAGAACTCCTCAGAGACCTACAAATAGCCCAAGGCCAGCCAGTAAGTTTGTGCAGAAAAGCAGCGTGCTCAAAAAGCATACGCGGATCAGGGCTGCCCAGGTCCCCGCGTCCACGACCTAAGTTTGTGGGGAGATGTGGGGAGCCTTCACTGAGGTGAATGTCCCACACTGAGTAATCAGAAACCAGGCGCCCAGACATGGGGCGGTGTCAAAAGGCGCCATTTCTGCGGACACTGAACTGGGCTACAGTCTGCATTCTGTATCTTAGAGATTGGAACTGGAAACCCGGGGCACAAAATTTGGGATGTGGGTTCCCCACGACTACGGGGCACAGAGCAGACACAGCACCCCCACACCGTTGAGGCGCTCCATACCACCCCCACTCTGTTCCCTGGACCCATGGAGAAAAAAACATTTCTGGAAGGTCACTAGGAAAGATCTCCGGCGCCACCTAGTGACCAGAACAAAATCACCAACACCCTGATAGTTGGAAACCAGAAATCCCCAAAACACCCTCAGGCTCTGAGAGAGATTGGGCCATGCAAACAGGGTAAGAAGGGAAATAAGGGTGGAGCAAGACCCCATTCTGGAACTGAGAGCCAGGCGCATGATCCAGGGTGGGGATGCACCATAGCAGCAGGCACTGCACAGTGTGACAGCCAGCGTTTTGGTATCTGATAACCCTGGAACTGAGACCTAGAGTGTAGAATTCAGGGTGCAGAATCCATACAGCTGTTGGCATAGCACCAGGTGAACATGGGGCAGCACAGCACCCAGCTTGAATAAGAGCCCCTGTGTTGAGGGGCTCCCCTCCACCCCCACCTCCATTTCTCAGAGAACCACTGGGAAAAAGCACGGGGCAGCAAGTATGGGTCTCTAGCACCACCTCATGACCAGAATACAATCACCAACTAGTTGATTCCCTGTTGGAACTGAGTAAATACAGAGGAGGGAACTGTAAGGGACAGTGCCCAGCAACACAGCAACAACACCATGGTGGAGTTTTGGCCTACCAGGTGCTGGTCTCAGCTGGTAAACAGTTTCTGACACCCTAAAGGAGCACTCCAAAGAGTTGCCCACCAACACCAGTGGCACAATGTCCCAATGCATAGAACTATTTAGAAAGCAAACAACAGGGAGAAGAAAAAATATAAATAACCAAGCAAGCCCGCAGGAGAAGGATACACCACAAAAAGAAATACAGTCACCAGAGCTTAACAATGACATGGAAGAACTTCTCGGCCTGTCAGATAGAGAATTAATGATCAGCATGATTAAAAAGCAGAAAGAAAACAAAAAGAAAAAAAAATGATTTGAGACAAGTAATCACTGAACTGAAGAATGAAATTAAAATCTTAAGAAAAGAGACTCAGGAGATTAAAAGATTACTAGAGGAGATAAAGAACTCTGGGAAAAACAATGAAAACAGATCAATGAAATGGAAGAACGGATCAGTACTGTCGAAGATACAAAATAAAAAGAGCCAAAAGAGACAAGGAGAGAGAAGTG